CCCCAGATCGGGCGGGGCCCCGCGGGATTTGCTCCCAGTGGCTCCAGTTCAGATTCCAGAGGGAACTGGGAATGGAGGGGACCCGGAGAATGATGGAGGTAAAGTGGGAAAAATTGGGAAAAATTGGGAAAAATCTGGAAAAAAATGGGAAAAAATGGGAGAAAATTTGGGGGAAAAATTGGGAAAAATTGGGAAAATTGGGGGAAAATTGGGAAAAAATTGGGGAAAAATTGGGGAAAAATTGGGGGAAAATTGAGGGAAAAAATGGGAGAAATTGGGGGAAAATTGGGAAAAATCTGGAAAAAAATGGGAAAAAATGGGAGAAAATTTGGGGGAAAAATTGGGAAAAATTGGGAAAATTGGGGGAAAATTGGTGGAAAATTGGGGAAGATTGGGGAAAAATTGGGAAAAAATGGGGCAAAATTGGGGAGAAATTGGGGAAAATCTGTAAAAATATGGGAAAAAGTCAGGGAAAAGTTTGGGGGAAATTGGGAAAAAAATGTGGAAAAAAATCCTAAAAATTGGGAAAAAAATGGGGAAAAAACGGGGCAAAAATTGGGGGAAAATTTGGGAAAAAATGGGGAAAAATCCGGAAAAAATTGTGTGAATTGACCCCAAAGTGTCCCCAAATGTCCCCTAAATGTCCCCAAATGTCCCCAAGGTGCTGTGGACGGGGCTCCCCTGCCCCAATTTCCTTCTGTTGGTGACCTGCGCCCTCCTCGAGCTGCTCGGGGACATTGGAGATATCGGTGGTGACATTGGTGACGTCATCAGTGACATCGGCGGTGGCATCGGTGACGTCATCGGTGACATCGGTGACATCGGAGGTGGCATCGGTGATGTCAGTGGTGGCATCGGTGACGTTGGTGACATCGCTGGTGGCATTGGTGACGTCACCAGTGGCATTGGTGACACCATTGGTGACATCGGTGACGTCGGTGGTGGCATTGGTGACGTCATCGGTGGCGTCAGTGACGTCACAGGTGACATCGGTGGCGCCTTTGGGGACATCGGTGACGTCATCGGGGCCGACAGTGACAGCGACAGCGACGGCGATGGGGACAAGGTGGGGACATTGGGGACATTGGGGACATTTGGGGACATTTGGGGACACTTTGGGGACATTTTCCCCCAATTTTCCCCCAATTCTCCCCCAATTTTCCCCAATTTTCCCCCAATTTTCCCCAATTTCGCCCAATTTTTCCCCCAATTTTTTTTCCCAGTTTTTCCCAATTTTTCCCATTTTCTCCCAATTTTTTCCCCAATTTTCCCCATTTTTTCCCAATTTTTCCCCGATTTTTCCCCAATTTTTCCTATTTTTTCCCCACTTTTTCCCCAATTTCCCCCAATTTTTTCTCAATTTTTTCCCCAATTTTCCCAATTTTCCCCAATTTTTCCCAATTTTCCCCCAGTTTTTCCCAATTTTTCCCATTTTTTCCCCTTTTTCCCAGTTCTCCCCAGCTCTCGATGTCGGTTCCGTTCTCAGCCGGGCCGAGGGGATTTTTCTGCAGCTGAAGGCGGCCACGGTCAGTGACCCCAAAATCACCCAAAATTACCCCAAAATAACCCCAAAATTATCCTAAAATCACCCAAATTTTTCCCAAAATTTACCCAAAAATTACCCCAAAATGACCCAAAAATTACCCAAAAAATTACAAAAAAAAGACCCCAAAGTGACCCCAAAATCACCCAAAATCACCCAAAATTACCCCAAAATTAACCCCAAAATTACCCCAAAATTTACCCCAAAATTACCCCAAAATTTACCGCAAATGACCCTAAAATTGACCCCAAATGACCCCAAAATTGACAAAAAAATGACCCCAAATGTCCCAAAATGACCCAAAAATGACCCCAAAAATTACCCAAAAATGACCCCAAATAACCCAATATTACCCAAATTGACCCAAACCCAATCCCAAAATTACCCAAAAATGACCCCGGAAATTACCCCAAAATGAACCCAAAAAAAAATGACCCAAAAATGACCCCAAAGTGACCCCAAAATGGCCCAAAATGACCCCAAAAATTACAAAAAAATGACTCCCAAATGGCCCAAAATTGACCCCAAAACTGGTGCAAAATGTCCCAAATGTCCCTAAATGTCCCTAAAATGTCCTAAAATGACCCCAAATTTCCGAAAATGTCCCAAAATGATCCCAAAAATTACAAAAAATGACCCAAAATGACCCAAAAGGACCCTAAAAGTGACCCCAAATGACCCCAAAATTACCCAAAATGCCCAAAATGTCCCAAATCTCCCTAAAATGTCCCAAATGTCCCAAAATTACCCGAAATGACCCCAAAATGTCCCAAAATGTTGGGAATTGACCCCAAATCTCCCGCAGGATCTGCCCCCGGCCCTTCAGGAGCTTTTGGGATTGGGGGGACCCCCCCCGGAGCCGCCGCCGCCCCCAGAGTGACCCCAAAAAAAAGCCAAAATCACAAAATCCAAAAATTTGGGATCCCGAAAACCCCAAAACCCAAAAAAACCCCAAAAATTTGGGATAAAGAAGCCAAAATCTCAAAATTTGGGACCCCAAAGCCCTCAAATTGGGACCCAAAAATCCCAAATTTTGACCCTAAAACGCCTAAAATCCTGAACTGGAAACCCCAAAATCCCAAATTTTGACTGCAAAAATCCCAAATTTGGGATCCTAAAATCCCTAAAACCCGAAAACCCCTAAAGCCCAAATTTAGACCCCACAAACCCCCAAAAATCCCAAAATTTGGGACGCTACAATCCCAAAAACCAAAAAACCCTGAAATCCCAAATTTTGACCCCAAAAAAATCCCAAAATTTGGGATCCAAAAAACCACAAAATCCCAAAATTTGGGAGCCCAAAAAACCCAAAAACCCCAAAGTCCCAAAATTTGGGATCCTAAAAACCCCAAAATTCCAAAATTTGGGACTCCAAAAACCCCGAAATCCAAAAAAAACCCCAAAAATCCGAAAATTTAGACCCCAAATTAAAGTGGAATGCTCATTAATATTCATGACCATCCTCATTAATATTCATTAATAAAGATATTAAAACTGCCAAGCTCATTAATATTCATGAGGGTGGAGCTGGCCCCGCCCCTCCCGGTTCATCCTGGATGGAAATTGGGGGCGTGGCCTTCACTGGAGGGGCGTGGCCTCTCCAAAGGGGGCGTGGCTGCGGTAGTGGGCGTGGCCTTGCAGTGACCACTGAGTCAATGGGGAAAGGGGCGTGGCCTAAATGAGGGCGTGGCCTAATCGGGGGCGTGGCAATTGCGAACGTAGTGGGCGTGGCCAGGGACACCTTTCAGGGCTGGGGGGCGTGGCCTGGACTGGGAACAGCGGTGGGCGTGGCCAGAACTGGGCGTGGCCTCTCAGTTGACAAACCACGCCCCCGGTAATTGTGGGCGTGGCCATTGCCGCGGGTGGGCGTGGCCTCTCAGATGAGGGCGTGGCCTCCCTGCCCCTTTCTGGGCGTGGCTTCTGCCACTCCTTTCAGCCGTGGGCGTGGCCGTGGGCGTGGCCACGGTCGGAGTCATTCCCATTGGATATAAAAGGTTTTGTGGGCGTGGCCAAAGGTGGGCGTGGCCTAAAGGTAGCGCCGTTATTGGATGCGGGGGGGGGGTTTGCTGTGGGCGTGGCCAAGAGTGGGCGTGGCCACTGTCAACAATATTCCCATTGGATATAAAAGGGTCTGTGGGCGTGGCCACTGTCAGAGCCGTTCCCATTCGCTATAAGAGGAAAGGTGGGCGTGGCCAAAAGTGGGCGTGGCCACTGTCAGCGCCATTCCCATTCGCCATAAAAGGGTCTGTGGGCGTGGCCAAGGGTGGGCGTGGCCGCGGCGGGCTGAGCCGTTTCCATTGGACACCAGGGGGGTGGTGGGCGTGGCCATAAGTGGGCGTGGCCGTGGCGAGCCGAGCCGTTCCCATTCGCTATAAAAGGGAAGGTGGGCGTGGCCAACAGTGGGGGTGGCCACCCTCAGAGTAATTCCCATTGGCTATAATTAGCTCGGTGGGCGTGTCCACGGCGGTGGGCGTGTCCTCCACGCATCTCCCCCGACCCCGCCGCTCCCATTGGATATAAAAGGAGCTGTGGGCGTGGCCAGAAGTGGGCGTGGCCACCCTCCGCTGCGTTCCCATTGGCTATAATTAGCTCTGTGGGCGTGTCCTCTTCGGTGGGCGTGTCCTCCACGCGTCTCCCCCGACCTCGCCGCTCCCATTGGCCGCCGGCGGTGGCCGTGGGCGTGTCCCGGGGCGGGTGGGCGTGTCCCGGGGCGGGTGGGCGTGGCCCCGAGCGG